GCTGAAAGCCCTATGAAGCGGTGTATAAGTCTAACTGCTACTGCTATTGCTATTGCTATTCTCGGAGTCGGAACCCTGTCCAGGGTCCTCCACATCCTCCAGAGCCGACTCATAGGGCCCCTCACTGTCAGAGTCTGGTGGCAGCTCCAACGGCTCCTGCCGGGCCACAACAGGTTAGGCTCTTTGAAAAAGTCGAGTAATCTTTGAAAAGTTGACTAAATATAAAGGGGAGCGTTATCTAATTTTAAAATTACAATTTCAGGGGGAAATTAAATTCTGATATTCTTGAAATCTAACACTAAAGCCTGTTAAGAAATAAAGTAATATAATAGTGTAGTTAAAAATCACAGATACCTGTACTAGATACTTGTTTTTAACTTTTTCAGATTGCAGAATTGATGCCAAAGATGCACTCATAGGCTATATTATTTCACTGCCTCTGATTCAAGCAATAATTCAGTCCAAAAAGATTTCTGAAATTACAGTATACATTCTGACTTTTGCCTTAGCACATACATACATACATTTCTGTATCTTCTTTTAAAAGGTCTGCATATGTTTCATAAAATATTCTCTTCCCTTTTTTTTCTTTTATTTCTTTTGCAGAATAGCTGCAATATCGATTGCCTCTAAATTAACAGATCCCCAACTTGGAGATTCAGTAGAGATAAGTAGATTGATTACCAAAAAAGAAATGAAGCAAACCAGGTACTAATTTATGAATCAGTGGGGAATACCTTTTAAATTCAGCTAGTATTTGCCTTTTATGTTGTTTGCGAGATTATATTTTAGTTAATTTTAGTTGACTGATGCAATTTATTGATATGTTTTTAACTGATTTTGTTTCATTATGTAAAATTGTTATACCACCTTAGCATTTGAAATGGAAAGATAAACTTTTAATAAAGTAATTAAATCAAATGTGATTCTTAAATAGCAATTTTGGCTTGGAGGCATGCCTGCAGAACCTATTGTGTTAATATTCCAATCTGTTTAATCCATTTATTGTTGCTAACCTGAGATTATCAATTGCATTTCTGTCTGGCATAGTGCTGTGCCAGACATGATAAATTTAAGTTCCTGTTCTGTGAAATATTCTTTCTTTGTGCATAAATGCAACAGCATTTTTAAATAAGCATTTATCATGTGTCTCTGTTTTGTTCATTTAGGTTGCAGTGTGATGAAGAATGCTTGGCTCTTGAAAGAAACAGGTAGGTAAATTGCTTTATTGATTTGAATGCAATAAGCAGTATGTGAAGTATTATATGACTGGAAGGAAATAGATAATCTCTTACAGTAAATTAAAAATTGGGATTTGACTGTTGCTAGACCGGATAACATTAAATATTTCTTTATTTATTATTAGACGGTTTGCCGAGGCTCTTCACATAGATGACAATTCTGATCCATTCAATGTTCGTTCCTCTGCACCCAAGTACAGTGAGGTTTTGAAAGAGGATGGAAGGTATGCATTATTATTTTTCTTCATCAACCTGGAGTTTTACCATGTTCTATCTAGATTGGTTTCCTGGTCTGTGTATCGCTTTTGCATGACGGCAATGAAGTTTCTGGGTTTCCACAGCTTGACAAAGTTCAACATAATCAAAAGCCTTTCTATAATCAATGGAACACATACTGACTCTTTCTGGTATTTTTTTTATCTAGGACAGTGGTTCCCAAACTTGGCAACTTTAAGACTTGTGGACTTCAATTCTCAGAATTCTCCAGCCAGCTCTGCTGGCTGGAGAATTCTGGGAGTTGAAGTCCACAAGTNCTTTGTTGTGTCTCATTGTTTTAATTCTTTTTTAATAATTTTTCATTTCTGTAAGCCGCCCGGAGTCCTTCGGGATTGGGCGGCCTAGAAATTCAGTAAATGAAATGAAATGTTCCTGTAAAGTAGTACCATGTCTAATTTTGTTGGTTGCAGCTCATATTTAGCCAATCTCTGCATTAAGCAAATAATTAGAAATGTAGGTGTAATGGGCTCTCAGAACAACCTCGGGAGACAGCACTAAGTGCTTCAACAACTGTCCTAAATGAGATATCTCAGCCACAGAAGGAACCGAGATAGGGAAAGCATTGCAGAAGGCACCCTCCCTAAATCTCTAGAAAACATTGAGAGAATTTGGACATTAGGGAACAATCTATTTGTTCTTTTCAGTATGTAGAAGCATAGAAGAGCAGGAACAGAATGGAATGATAGTGTCACTGAATTAAAATATCTAGCCTATCAAGAAGGATCTTCAGAAAGAGCAAGAAAACCAAAGTGCCAGATCGAAGAAGAAATGTTTGCTTTCATGATTTGGGCAATTTTTTTCACGTTTTTAAACTGCTGCTTCGTTTTTTAGCGGTATTTCATAATTTGTATCACTCAAGTTTGCTGCCTCAAGAAATACTGCAACATGAAGCTCTGTATATTTTACAGTTTTACATAACTTTTTATTTTGCTGTTACATTCTGTATTAAACTAACATTTAAAGTTATAGCTTGAGTCCAGTTTCTATATTAAGCAGTAGGGTTTCTATTTTATTTATTTGAAATCATTAACTTATTATTATTATTATAACTTATTATTATTAATAGATAATCAATCACAATTGGAGTATCTAATTTTAGATTATAAATCTGATCCTATAGAGAGTGCAAGGGCATATCCACACTATCTTGTCCAGATGAGGAATAATATGAATCAAGAATTTCTGATTATGGTCAGGGCCATAAACTGCCAGTCTGGTGATTATTAGAATATGGTCATTATCCAAACACCTGCCAATAGAAAAGAAGTTACAATGCATGTCAATTCAGATGAAACCAATAAAAATGCTTGTCAATCATTCCATTTTCAGTAGGTGTGCTCTTTGTTACAACTACCCATGACAGAATTATCCCCATATATATAAAAATCACATTTAACTGTCATTTGGAATAGCTTCCAGCTCCTTAGTTTATTCCAAAATCTTTGGAACCTCCAGGGGGAATATTACCTCACAACAAAGAAGGGTGTTATTAAATCATAATAACAACAAGTAAAGATTTGTGTTTGGCTTCATTTGAGATTTGCAGGAGCAATATAGATTAGATTTTTAGATTTTACTTTATTTGTATGCCGCCCTTTTCCCTGAGGGGACTCAGGGCGGCTCACAATTCAAGGGAGGGGAAAAACAGACAAG